GAGTCACTGATGAGGCCCTGTGTTTGTGACAAGGGATCATCCTGGCTCACCAGCACTTTCCACTAGAGGGCACTGTGTTGGACATCACAATTTTGTGTGTGTGTGAGGGGGCCCATTGTGGCTACTAAGAGATCCCATTCTACTGAAAGTATACTTTGATCTTTATGGGCGTACTGGCCATAATCTAGTTCATTTAGAAACAATGAAATGGGAAAATAATATAACTCCATTTTTTTCAGAAGAATCTGAGAACTGAGTCCTAAGAAGGGAGTGAATAGTGAATAGTGAATATGAAAATAGTGAATATTTTCATAAATCACAAGATACCTAAAAAAGAAACAAATGTAGGCTGGTCCTGAGTCCAAAGGCTACCTAAAGAATTAACACGCTTCAAACAAAACTGGTCTTGTAGAATGCCTGGAGAACTCTCGCCTCTGGTCCTTTAGATTTAGAACTATACACCAGAGCTTTAAGAAGCTGCGAACCTGAGTGAGCTCATCAGGGGAAGGAAGAGGCAAGTTAGAGAAGGAGGTCTGTCCAGACTGTAGGCTGAGGAGTGATTTTGAGAAACTCTGTTAAGTGTAGCTCTGACTTGTCTCCATCCTTTATGACCAAGTGTCTTTATTCCTTTCTATGTGTACCTCTTCAGGGCACTGCCTCTTCATGGCTCAGCACTTCAACTGATCTAGTGTGGAGGCCATGTTCCCGCGAAAATAAAAGCGGTGTTTGTTTTTGTTTCTAGACGGATGTCTCATTAGCCCAGGCCGGCCTTGGACTGGTTGTATAGCTGAAGGTGCCTTTGCCTCCTCAGTGCTGGGATTATAGGCATTCATCACCACATTTGGCTTTAGCTGGCCTCTTAGTTGGCCGGTCAGAGAGTCTTTTCTCTCCAAATGCCCTTCCACTAAGGCAATAGCTGATGTCTGCATCTTTATGACTAATGTGTGGTGTCAATTGGGTTCCCTGTGCCTCTTGGCTTCTATCGATCTCTGCTTCCAGCACATGCCTTCTGAATTGACTCCTCCCTGGGATTTCACAGCATTTATTGCTCTCACACAGGCTACAGTGTGTTATGTTTGGTTGTGGCAAATGCAGTTGGAAATTAAGTAATAAATAAAAGTAACAAATTTTTTTAAAAAAATTGTGTCAGACACACAGAGGAAAATAATTACTTCTGTAAGTCAAAATGAAATAAGTTAAAGTAAAAAAAAAAAGGGCCAACAGGGGGAGAAAAAGTACAAAATTTTAGCTGCTTATACCAGGGAAAGCTTCCTAGAGGAGGGAGGTACCATTTGAGGTGGGACTTGGAGGACACATTAAACAGACGGGGGTAGGGGCATACATCCTGCCTGAGGCACTGTGTTAGCAATGAGCAACGAGCTTGGCAACATGTGTGATGTACCTGAGGAGGTTCCCAGAATGCATCCCACAGGGAAGACCTCTGGTTAGTTTTCCTGCTTCCCTCACTTGGAGTCCCCCTATCTCCTGCCTTTTTTTTTTTTAATCTCGTTCCCTACTGTGTTGAGGTCTGGCCTTAGCCTTGTACCTCCACTAGATCTTTTCTGTCCTAGCTCACGGCACAGTTTAGGACTTAGATGCAGTTAGTGTCAGTTCTGGAATTGTCTCTTTAGCTAGATAAGGGCAAGATATAATGCTCATCTTATTGTTTCAGTCTTGCAGCCCTGGAAATAGTAATTGGTGCTAGAATACTCTAGGGATCCATTCACGAGGACACACAATTTCCTTTCTTCTCCTCCTCTTCTTCCTTTTTAGAGCTTTATTAAATTTGTTCTTTGAAAATTTCAAGCATTCTGAATGCTGTCTCCTCCATATACTGAGAATTCTTATCAGGAAAGCCTTTGTTTTTATTGTTTTTATTGAGCTATATATTTTTCTCCACTCTCCTCCCTTCCTCCACCTCCCCTTCTACTTTCTTCCATGGTCCCCATGCTCCCAATTTACTCAGGAGATCTTGTCTTTTTCTACTTCCCATGTATATTAGATTCATGTATGTCTCTCTTAGGGTCCTCTTTGTTGTCTAGGTTCTCTGGGGTTGTGAATTGTAGGCTGGTTTATCTTTGCTTTATGTCTAAAAGCCACTTATGAGAGAATTTATATTATATTTGTCTTTCTGGTTCTGGGTTACCTCATTCAATATGATCTTTTCTAGACCTATCCATTTGCCCGCAAATTTCAAGACATCATTCTTTTTTTCACAGTGTAGTTCTTCATTGTGTAAATATACCACATCTTTTTTTGAAGTCCAAAAATGGAAATAGATCAATTTATTACAGTGAATAGACACAACCAAGTGATTCATAGTCAAGTTTTAGGATAAAACTTAATACGCAGAAAATACTTAAAATACATTGTTAATAGTACACCTTCTTGTACGTAAAAGAACTTGCATCAAATGTCAACAAGAGTCATTTTCCCTGAATGGTTGGTGTTTGAGTGATTTTCTTTCTTTTTTAAATTTTTATTATAAAAAATTACTTAAATTCTTAAATTTCATTATACATACCCAATCCAAGTTCCCACTCCCTCCTCTCCTCCCATTCCTTCCACCCCCCCACCTCCCACTCACTCCTCAGAGAAGGCAAGGCACATTGCTTTGGGAAAGGTTCAAGGCCCTCCCTACTATATCTAGGCTGAGCACGGCATCTGTCCAAAGAGAATAAGTTCCCAAAAACCAGTACAAGCAGTAGGGATAAATCTTGGTGTCACTGCCAGTGGCCCTTCAGTCTGCCCCAGCCATGCAACTGTTAACCACATTCAGAGGGACTAGTTTGGCCCTATGCTTGTTCCTTCACAGTCTGGCTGGTGTTGGTGAGCTCCCATTAGCTCAGGTAAACTGTTTCAGTGGGTGTACCCATTATGGTCTTGACCACTTTGCTCATATTCTCATTCTTTCCACTCTTCAACTGAACTTTAGGAGCTCAGTCCAGTGCCCCAATGTGGGTCTCTGCCTCTGTTTCCATCAGTGACTGGACAAAGGTTCTGTGGTGATATTTAAGATATTCATCAGTCTGACTACAGGGCAAGGCCAGTTCAGGTACCCTCTCCTCTATTGCAAGGGCCATCCTTGGTACCACATCTTTATTTATTCTTAAGTCTGGGGGAATTTAGGTTATTCAGGAAAGCCTTTGTAAACAAACCGATAGGGAAATGAACAGAAGGTATTGAATGAAAATGAGGACACTGACTGCTCCTAGGTGTGGTTGGAGATAAGGTTTTATTGTAGACGTGAGGGAGTGTACAGCCAGGGGCATCTGAAGGATTCCAGAGCAGAGAGAGAAAGTGGCAGATTGAACAAAGCCAGCAGAATAGACCACACCATGAAAGGAGAGAAAGAGGGGGTAGGGGGTAGAGTGAGAGAGGAAGAGAGGAGAGAGGAGGGCCAAGAGGACCAAGAGAGAAGGAAGACTCAAACACACACACACACACACACACACACACACACACACACACACACAGAGAGAGAGAGAGAGAGAGAGAGAGAGAGAGAGAGAGAGAGAGAGAGAGGAATCAGAGGCTGGGAGGGGAAGTGAAGCCCCTGGGCTGGAGAGGGTTAGGCTAGGGGGTGGGGTGGGAAGAGCAGAGAGGAGCCACAGGCTGAGTGAACCTGGCCAGCATGCTCTTTGGTATGCTAACAGGCAACTCAGTTATTTATTTGTTCCAGGTTTCTTTGGGACCTGACAGATATCAACAAATTTTCAAAACAGAATGAATACAATCAACAGTAAGTTTTGGGGCATATGGGAGAAAAATTTCACCTGTCAGATAGGCAGAGCGAGGGTATAAGGACACCAGCACACTTACTGAAAACAAAAATCAGTTTAACCTTTTCAGAAGACAAGTTAGTAGTACCTCTCACACTTTCAAATGTGCCCAGGACCTTTGTGGGACACACAATTTTATTGTACCCAAATACAGCTCATTCCTACTGTGGAGCCTGGTATTCATGGGCATTTGAGATTCAGCTGGTAAGGATTGTTGACACAAAAGATAGCCATGGCCTCAAATGATCTCATGCTGCCCTGTCCAGATGGAAATTCTTCCTCATGACTGGCAGCTGGTTTTGAGCTTGTGTGTGTGTGTGGGTGCTTCGGTGAAGGAACTCTTCCTTAGCTTGAACCCTGTGCCTGTCTGAGCTGGCTGAAACAGCATCCGGGGTGAAGCCAGTTTCACCATCTGCAATGTCATCTCCCAGGTTCCCTCTTATGTGATGACTCTGCAGTCCTCAAGATCTCTTGGTTTGATAGTTTGGTTGCACCCACTTCCTTCAGGGTGTCAGAAATGTAGCTGGCCAATTCTTTTTGGAGAGTGAGGCTCTTGGGCATGGTGTCTCCTTGCTGAGGCTGTCTGAAGTAATAAACAGGGAAGGAAAGCCTGGCCAGACAGGAAATCTTATGAGGCTTCTGAAGATCTCCATCAGTCTAGTCTGTACTCTAGAGAATGTATCAGCCTGGCTGAGGGCCACAATTCAGCAGCTGTGTCCTGCATGATGGCTCCTGAATTGAGGAATGAGTAGGGGTAGCCTATACTTGGCTTGCCATGCCATGTGTTCAAGTGAGGGGTTACTTATACTCCAAGCATGCCTCTCCTAAGTTGCTTAAGGTACTGTAGCAACTATGGAGGCCGTGCATCAGGTTTCCTTATGCATGTTGAGTCTGCAGAGAACATCCAAGTGTCCAAAATATTAACTGGTATCTTCCCACAGCTGTCGGGCAGTGATGCTGCAGCTAGAGCTGACAATCCCAGCTATCTTCAGTCTTGTTTAAATGTGAGCGACCTTGATGATTTCATCCAGTGTGCCATAAAATAACTCTTCTATCTTCTGTGATGGGGAGAAGTTTGGGAGGTACCATGTTAGGGACTCTGTCTTGCTTCTTGCATAGAAAGGATTTGATAAGTAAGGACAAGTGTCCATAAGTCCGTTTGGGTACAAGTAATGTCCAATAACAGAAGGTTTCCTGCTCTGGCTGGGTGTGTGGAGGTGGTGAGTTGGAATGCCATGGTATGGGACAGCCAGAGAAAGTCTTGGTCTCCAGGACACCTGTCCTATTGCTGCTTGTAACTTCAGTTCCTGGTGGGAGAATGCTATCTGCTCACCTAGACGATAATTTCATTACCCAAAGCCTTGGGAAGTCTGTCATCCTTCGTGTTGTGTTTCCACACCTGTGCAAGAGAGGGAAATATGAAAACATGTTAGCTGAAAGACGTGGCTGGCTCAGTCCAGTCCCAAGAGGTAGTTAAGAAAACGGCACAGGGTGATGTCTTAGATTTTGCCAGTACTTAGGGAAATGGGGATGGCCAGGCTATTTCCTTTGGTGAGCCCTTTCCCTTTGCTCTACGTAGCTCGAATAATAAAAACCCAGAGACAGATATTGGGGTTCAACCTGAAGATCAGAAAAAAAAGCAGCCAGTCACTGGTTCTTTTCTCTATCTCAGACAGAAATGGTGATCCTGCCTTCACGAATCCTCAGAATGAGACTGGGCCTGAGAGCTGTCTCCTCCCGCCTTTTATTCCTCTCTCATGCTGGGGTTAAGGGTGTGTACCACTTCCACCCAGCTTCTATGGCTAACTAGTGTGGCTACTGGGATTAAAGGTGTGTGCCACCATTGCCTGGTCTGTATGACTGTAAAACAGGGTGGCTGTTTTACTCTCTGATCTTCAAGCAAGCTTTATTTACTAAAATACAAATGAAATGTCACTATAGCTCCAGTCACCCCATTTGGGAACTTCAGGGAACTTCTTAACCCAGAAAAGACAAGTAGAAGGGAATAGGGGTATTTGCCATTGGTTTTGATTGTTAGGCTTCAAGCAACACCCAGGCTGCATTATTTGTTCCCAGTTCAGCCTTAGTTCATTCCATTTTCACCTCCACATAAAGACAAGGAACTGCCGGCATCTCATCACTGCTAATGTCTCGTGTGACCTAGTACTTAGGATGCTAGGAGCAACTTTTTCCCATTGGCTCGAGAAGACTTGAGCTTGCAGTCAAGTATTAGTGGATGGGATTCACCAGGGTAGGCAGAACAAGTGGGAAAAGAGAGTTAAAAAGCCATACAGGATTTACCTTCTCAGAAGGCTGCACTGAGGAATAAATGGTGCTCATTGGCTCTTCCTTGCGGGGCAGCACCTGGAAAAGAGGTGTTTTCCCTCTCAGTGAGATTGCAGAAGACAGTCCTTAAGAGTCCCCCTTCCCAATTCTACTCTCTCCATCTCCCATTTCTGGTCCCACTTTACTGGGTAGCCTCCTTTACAGGATTTACCTTCTCAGAAGGCTGCACTGAGGAGTAAGTGGTGCTCATTGGCTCGTCCTTGCGGGGCAGCACCTGGAAAAGAGGTGTTTTCCCTCTCAGTGAGAATGCAGAAGACAGTCCTTAAGAGTCCCCCTTCCCAATTCTACTCTCTCCATCACCCATTTCTGGTCCCACTTTACTGGGTAGCCTCCTTTTCTGGCATCAGCTCTTGTTCCATCCAACTTTGGATCAGGTTAAGGTAGAGATAAGGATGATGGGTGGCAGATGGGTACAGCTTTGTAGCAAAAAACCCTCCAAGAGCCAAGAGGAGGATTCTGTGTGGTTTAGACTGAGTCTTGCTCAGTTGGGAGTTTAGCTTTCTGTGAGTTATGTGAATCTCTATTCTTATCCCTGGCAGATCAAGCAGAGGGACAGACTAACCAGAGAAGCCCTAGTGTCTCTCTTTGGTCCTTGGCAGACTCCAAGGGAACAGGCTTGTGGAGGCACTGAAGGTGATCTTTGTGGAGGCAAAGCACAGGCAGGCAGTCAAAAGGCAAAAGGTGTGGGTCAGAGGGAATAAAGAGTCTGAGAAATCAAGCTTCAGATAGACCAGCTAGTGCAGTTCCAGGGTGTTCATCTTTAGTTATACATCCTTGGAACAACCTTAGCAATGACTTTGCCCTGTCGGAACCCAATAGCATCCTTTGTCTCACGATAAGGACTCCTTCGTTGTTTAATCCCATCAGAGAGAGCTTCTTAGACACAGATCACATCTAAGCCATGACTACTCCATGTGAAGCTCAGGGTTTTATACCATGGAAGCTGCCATGAGGAGAGAATGAATTATGCTTGCTTTCATGGGGAGATCCGTGGCATCATTGCCTTAGCATAGTGTCTCTTGGCTGGTTCCTCCAGATTCTTGGCTGTAGCTTCTTTCTATGCAATGGCAAACAGCGGGCAATTGTTGCCCAAGACTCCTATTCTGCAGGTAGTGGTAGGATGCATTCATGAGTAGCATCAGCTCACCTTGGCCTCAGGGATTTCATCATAGATTCTGGACTCCATGGGATGAGCATTTCTTGAAACTTCAGAGTATGCTGTTTCCTTTGAGACATTACCTGCCACAAATAAACATAGTCTGTGAAAGGCAGACAGGGTTTTAGAGACTGTTTAGTTTTATTTTATCTTTCTGTGGCAAAGAAATAAAACCCAGAGGTTAAATGGCCCCCACCCTACAGAGAAGGGTGCTTGGACCAGATGGTCTTTTCATCCCAAGGATTACATGTGTGATAGAACATATCTCATTCAAATTGCACCAAAATCCCAGTGGGAATTCTTTTTTATTCCTGAAGTCCAGTTTAGCCTAAAGAGACTCTTTCCAGCCCTGTATGTAATTCAAAGGTAGCTCTGGCATTGATGACCATGCATGGCTAGTGGACTTTCCACGTCAGGGTCTCAGTTGTTTAACCTGACTGATTCTAATTATACTTGGTGCTTGATTATCCTGGTGCATAGCTGACTATAACCACAAGCATTCATGAGATAGTTAAGCATCTATTAAGCTTTTTGTTTGTGCCAGGCTCCATAGGAGGCCCCAGAGAAACAAAGGAAGGGTACAAAGAGCCTTAATTTTTAAGAATTTCTGAGCTAGATGAGGCATTAATCTTTTTGTTTAGTATCAACACAGTGTTTTAGGGTCAAGTTGAAAAGAGATAGCCAGGATTTTGTGCCTTCTTATTACAGGACACCAAAATAGGTACAAATGATGGGTCAGATCTGAGATTACCCCAGGGCTCAGTAGTTCAGAGCTAGTCTGGTTTCTGCCCCAGACTCAGTAAGGGAGCCGGACAAAGCGCTCTCAATTTTATTCGTGGGTGCAAAAAATAGTCTGTCCCCATTTCTCTGTCTCTGTCTCTCTATCTCTGTCTCTCCTTACTCTCTCGGCTGTGAGAAGAAAGATGTTTCTTTGAGTAAACGTGGAGATCAAGCCTGAGGGATGATGACATTCCCTTTTGTAAATCTGATTGAGTTATGATGCATGTCATAAAACCTTTCCCTTAGAATGTCTCCTCTATACCATTCTCAGGCCTGCCAATTATACCCGCAGGAACTAATATTTACCTAGTACCAGGGGCCGGGCTGACTATTACATGTGTGTAATCTCCTTAATAAGTATATGCAGTAAATCCCATTATTATGGCTATCTTACAGCTGAGGAAATGGAATCTTAGAGAGCTAAAATAACTGGTCAAATAATAGTCAAGATGGAATTCCATGTATTTTGTCACAGTAATGAGAAAAGTAACTAGTACATCAAGGGTCTACTTTGGTAGGACTTGAGGAAAGGAAAAAAAGAACAGTGCCCCCCCCCCTTTATAGTTTGTAAGAATGAAGGGCCACTTTGTTCTTAAGGTGTAGTGCAGATGGCAGCAGCGCTTGTCCAGGGCAATGTGCACGTATTGTGAGGGCTTAGTCTATCCTCTCCTCTCTCACTCCTTTCCCCCATTCAAGCATTGCTGTTGCTCGCCAGAGCAGGTGGGAGCAGAGCAAGTGGTTGATGGTGCTTTTGCCGACAATTTCTGGCTCCTGGCAATACTTCCTAATCCCAAAGGTCCATAAGTCATCTAGGTTTCTCCTGGATGGTGAGTCCTCTCCTTTTCCTTCTGACCAGCAAGTGTGACACTGTAAAATTTTACCTTCGGGGTTGCTTTGACTTCACCAGCTGGAGAGATTTGACTGTTGAGTGAAACCAAATTTAGTCTCCATGCACCAGGAGAGTCTCTGGTCTCTTATATTTTTGGTTGTAAGCCTAGCCTTTCAACGACTGACCGAGCCATTATCTCTCCAGTCTGAGAGTCTCTGTTCTCAAGCGACACCTTAGCTTACAAGCACATCTCCATGGAGATAGTACAGCACAGCCAGGTATTGTCCTTGACACTAGGGTTCTGTTGCTCCCTCAAATGGTCCATTCTGAGTAAAAACGTCACCTCTAGTAGGACCCACACGATGGGTCTCATGCCCATTATTCCCTTTGACTTAGCCCTGGGATGTATTCTGAAGAAGTGGTTCAAATTTGAATCACAGATTATCAAAAGAAAATACCTCCCCTAGTTTTACTTTGCAATAAAACTCGACCCTTAATATCCACTCTCAGGTCAAGAATGCTTGTCACCTCATGGAACACTGCTGTAAAACTGGGTATTAAAATTCAATCTCTTTTGTCATAATTTAGATAAGGACATAGATCTCCTATATTTAAGCTTCATGGCCTCATCATAGTCCTCAAGCTGCAAGAGGGATGTTGGATGTGTCTTCCTAGATTGTCTCACAATAGTCCGTCTCCTTTAAAGCCAACCGTACACCCCTCTAAAGGTGTGGGACTTGGGAGCATGGAGCCTAAAAATGAGGTAGATTGAAGTCTCAAGCAATAGCCAGCTTTATTCAGAGCACCAGACAGTTTGTACTCTGAGGGTTAAGAAAAGTCACCCGAGTAAAGTGTACAGTCCCAAGGGCAAGCCGCATGTGGCAAGAACATGTTTTCCACAGAGGCAAATAAACAAATAACAACAACCAGTTGTGATGAATGACCTGAAGTGAACTCTCTCCTATCCCCACTCCGGGGAGGAGCACAGGAATACATTCCAACAACCGAATAAACTGGGGTCACAAGGCTCTTGTTTCCTTGAAGTTTTCTCCCAAGCACTGAGAGTTCTCCTCACATGACTCCATTCCTGGACCACGCTCCAGCAATCAACCACAGGCGACATCTTTGATCACCTTTCCTTCCCTGCTCACTAGCCACTCTGTCTAGCAACTCTGCTTCCTCCCCTCACTCCTTCCTCTCTTCATGTGGAGTTCTCTCCAACCGCCATCTTTCCTTACCCAAGTCTTTCCCCCTCACACAATCTTAAGAGCTTCATATAGGGAATCCAGGGAAGAATGAAAAGTCATCCTCTCTTCAGAGAACATTCTTCCCTTCACAATGTGGCTAATGGATACCTTTGCACCATTTGGATGCATATGTGCACCAAGCTTCTCTGGATATTAGATAAAACCTTCAAAAACTAGACGAGGGATCCCAGGCTCCTTTCTTCACTTTATGAGACACAGTCCTCCAGGTCTTTAATAACCAGGAGGATCTGTATCTATATATCTATGCATCTATCTATAACATATACACACATACATATAGATATATACATATGTATATGTACAGATCAACTAGATAAAGCGAACCGGCCTCTGAGGGATGGATTCCTTTTGAAGAGCATGTGCAGCTGAATTTCCCAGTTATTACCCCTTGTGGGTCAGTTCACAAAAGAACTCTCATTCTTTCGGGCCCTTGTTTACTTAGCCTTCTGGCACAATTGATATCCTTCAGATTAGAAGCCTTTAACCTCCACAAGGCATTGTCTCAGGAGTATCAACCCTTACTATCAGTGTTGGCGCCTGACTCCAGTATGATGGCTTCTCAGCCAATGAGTTTTGTCCTCTAACTTCTTGCCACCTCCTTCTCTAAAGTACTACTTACGTCCTTTTAGCCTTGTGGTTCTACAACCCTATGGCGGATCAGAAACCCCAACCAGAGACCCTTGTCATCCCCATCAGCTCTGAAGCAGCTCTAGTAGAAACAAGACTAGCAAATGCTCCTTTGGCTTTACCACTATGGTTCCCAAAATGATACGCTTCACTCCATCCTGGCTAAATAAACCACCTCACTCCTGGGGAGAAAGAAAGCCCATTCTCACATTTTACCTTCCAGGTCAGTCCCATCGTGCCTTCTCTTGTAAAAATAGAATAGAAACACTGAAAATGGAATGAGAACAAGCAGAGGGAGAGCAACAGCCAGTCCACTTGGCAACACAGCATGGCGGAGGTGGAAGCTTGAAGTGTCTGGAAAGAGAAATTGTTGTGAGTCTTGGCTATCAGGAGACAGGGCTAAGATTCTGTGCAGGTTTGTCTACTTTCATGGCCATTGTCAAAATGGGATGTCCTTCAGAGACTGCCAAAGCTCTTCAATTTACGGTCTGAATCAGAGAGTCAACCAGGGGCTCTTTAAAACACCCGGGAATGCTTAGCACTCCCTAGAGGGCTTTGGTCTTTCTCCCAGTAGGCTACTTGGGTGAAGATACACCCGGGCTAGTGTCAGCATGGAGGAGGCAGAGGCATGTGATGATTAGTCAAAGGTTAAGCCTTGACGCTCTTCAGAGTGATTTCTGAGACTTTGCAGAAGAGACAGATGGAGCTGGTTACCTGTGCAGAGTTCCTGGGCAGTGACAGAGTTGGAGCTGTTGCTGACAGGGTTCTCGACAGTACAGGTGTAATTCAGTTTTTGATTCACAGGGGACTGGAAGATTTGAAGGACGTTGCTTCTCTCTCCAAAGGGACTCCAACTGTAGGTGACATTCTCTTCTTCTTTCTCCACAGAGCAGGTCAGTGTGACATTACAAGAATTGTTCACAAATGTTATTAAACTCTGTGTAATTATTGGTTTTCCAAGCCGACCTGTGAGGAGAAAATATACTAGCATATAGTGAGCTGAAACCAACATCTATAACCTTCTGAGAACCAATTGTTTACTTTTCAGGAATTTGTATGAGAGATGTTAATCACAGCATTAAAATTGAGTTATGACAACAAAGAAATTATACTAAAATTGTTTTAAAATTATTTTTGGTATTTTATTGTAGTCTGTGTGCTGGCGGTGAGTTACACACATTGCATCCATGCTCTGTAAGGACATACCAGCAAGCATATCCTTTCAACCCTGTAGATCTCAAAATCAGCCACAGAAGGTTTTTTAAAAATGTTTTTCCTAAACATATAGTTATCCTCTTGGCTAAGGGAAGTAGACCAAATTGCCGGGGAGAAAATGGGATCTTGGGGGTGGGGTGGGATGGGGGTAAGGGGAGATGGGGAGAGAAAAGTGAGAAGGGAAGGAGGGGGGACCTGGGGAAACAGGAGAATTGGGATAAAGGAAAGGTGGATAGGGGAGCACGGAACCACAATTCTTAGTTAAGGGAGCCACTTTAGGGTGGGCAAGAGACTTGACTCTAGAGGGGCTCCCAAGTGCCCAAGATGAGGTTCCCAGTTAGTTCCTTGGGCAGCTGAGGATTGGGAACCTGAAATGACCCTATCCTAGAGCAATACTGACGAATATCTTGCATATCATCATAGAATCTTCATCTGGTGATGGATAGAGATAGAGACAGAGACCCACACAGGAGCACTGGACTGAGCTCCCAAGGTCCCAATGAGGAGCAGAAGGAGGGAGAACATGAGCAAAGAAGTCGGGACCACGAGGCGTGCATCCACCCACTGAGACAGTGGAGCTGATCTACTGGGAGCTCACCAAGGCCAGCTGGACTGTGACTGAAAAAGCATGGGATAAAACCGGACTCTCTGAACATGGCGAACAATGAGGGCTGATGAGACACCAAGGACAATGGCACGGGGTTTTGATCCTACTTAATGTGCTGGCTTTGTGGGAGCCTAGCCAGTTTGGATGTTCACCTTCCTAGATATGGACGGAGGGGGGAGGACCTAGGACTTTCCACAGGGCAGGGAACCCGGACTGCTCTGTGAACTGGAGAGGGAGGGGGAGAGGAGTGGGGGGAGGGGGGAGAAGGGTGGGAGGAGGGAGAGAAGGGTGGGAGGAGGGGGAGGGAAATGGGGGGGCTGGGAGGAGGTGGAAACTTGTTTTTTTGTTTATGTTTTTTTTCTTCTTTTCTCAATAAAAAAGAAAAAAAAGAAAAAAAATGTTTTTCCTATAGTTATTTTTTTTATGTCACTCCCATTAAGCATTTAACAAGAACTTTTTTCTTTGCTGTTTGAGATTATGATATAATTACACCATTCCTTCCTTCCCTTTCCTCCCTCCAAACCTTAACATATACCCCTCCTTTTTTAAGTTCATGGCCTATTTTTCATTATTTGTATATATATATATATATATATATATATATATATATATTTACATACCTAATTTTTCACTTTTCCTTTTATTTGAAAATAGTTTCTTTTCTCATATGATACATTCTAAGAAAGGAAGGGAGGGGTGGTAGAGAGGAACTGGGAGGAGTAGAGGGAGAAGTTCTTAAACCACAAAAATTTGGAAATGTTGTAACTTTGGGTTTGATTTATTCTTTTGTCATTGATGTGCTTGAGAAAGCAATGAATAAAAGGTTACTAAAATAGATGAAACTTAAAAGCATATCATGTTTGTAGCCATTACATTGTTAATATAAAATAAAATATTATATTGATATAATATCTGTAAAACATTGTTTTTTGCCTCAGCGAAGAAGTTACTTATATTTAGGCATGTGGATAAATGCCTATAATCCTTGCATTTGGAAGTGTGACGTGGGAGGTTATGTATAAATTTGACGCCAGTGTGGGATGCTTACTAAAACCATTCAAAAACAAAACAAAACAAAAAAGACTGATTCTAAAAATTATGAGCATTAAAGGTGTGGTGGTTTGCATGAAAATGGCTCCCACTGACTTATATGTTTAAATGTTTAGTCACCAGGGAATGAAACTGAAATGATTAGAAGGATTAGGAGGTGTGGCCTTGTTGGATTAGGTGTGACTACTATTTCTTTGGGGATCTAACTTTGCTTATCTGTTTAAATTTCTTACCTGATCTTGGTTTAATTTTGGTAAGTGGTATCCACCACAAAAACTATCCATTTAATTTATATCTTTCAATTTAGTAAAACACAGGTTCTAAAAGTATATACTTAGGATTTTCTGGGTTTCGTAGATATCTGTTGTGCTCCCCATTTTCATTTGTGATTTTGTTAATTTGGATATTCTCAATCTGCCTTTTAGTTATTTTGGGTAAGTGCTTGTCTGTCTTGTTGGCTTTTTTTTTTTTTTCCAAAGAACCGTTTGATTCATTGACTCTTCGTATTGTTCTCTTTGTTTTTATTTTGTTGATTTCAGCCCTGAGTTTGATCGTTTCTTGCCAAATACTCCTCTTATGTGTGATTACTTTTAGTTCTAGAACTTTTAGGTGTGCTACTAAGTTGCTAGTATGAGATCGTTCCAGTTTTTTTTTTTTTTTTAATGTAGGCACTTAGTGTTATGAACTTGCCTCTTATACCTGCTTTCATTGTGTCCCAAGTTTGGGTATGCTGTGTATTCTTTTTTAAATTTTTTTTGCCATACCAAAGTGAGTTTATTGACATTCCTTGAAAATGTATGATGGAAGGGAAAGTGAGGCCTGAGTATCATGTAACATTTCTTTTGTAGATGTAATCAAAATCAGCCCAGTAGTATGGATGCCTGCTGTTAGTGGCTAGAACAAAGACTTGTAAACAAAATTGTTATGAACATTTCCTCAGATAATGGAAGCTGCAGGAAGTGGACTAATGGAACAATATTTACTCTATATACTACCTCTAGGTACCTTGTATCTATTAGAACAAAGGGACTACATGTCATTAACAGGAAAATAATACTTTCTCTTTTGGACCTTGTGATAACTGGAATAGTCATCCTGCACATTTATGATACAGTATTCCTGTAATTTCAATAACAAACACCAAAAAACGTAATAGTAATTATAATAATGACAACAACAACAACAACGAGAATTATAACAAAGCACCATATTTTGTTATGCAAGGTCCTAACTACTTTCATTTGAAAGGGTTTCATCTTGCCTGGGAAAACACTTGTGGTAACTTAGAAATTTTCAGAACCCAAATTTGAGACATGTGGCTTGACACATGGATTGCTAATGAGACTGCATACTGTTAGATGTTTCTTGGGAAACTCAGCTCGCTGGCTTGCCATACAAACATTCTTACTACTGAATGATGTAGCTTCATTATTAACAGGAAAAAATTGAAATCTTTCCTGATCAAAACTTGCCAAAATATCATTTAACGTTTCATTTTTTTCATTAACTTTCCCAAAATATTTGTGCTGAAATAGTGATGTTAGTAAAAACTTATCACAATGTTCTCCAGCTCATGCGCACAGGATGTCATAGAGCATTCAGTAGTTCTAGAATAGTTCTAACTGTGAAGACTCAATTTCTATCAGGGAGATTCCCATCTTCATGTTACTGAATATTGTCTCACAATAAAAGATGTTATACTCATAAAACTAGATATAAAAATCTTGTTTTAGTGTGTATTCATTTTCTTTAAATTCTAGAGTATCTTTAATTTCTGTCTTGACCCATTTCCCATTCAATAGAGAGTTGTTTAGCTTCCACGAGTTTGTAAGCTTTCTGTTGCTGTTGATAACCAGCTGTAATCTGTGCTGGCCTGATAGGCTGCATGGGGTTATTTTAATTTTCTTGTATCTATTGGGACTTTCTTTGTGTCTGAGTATGTGGTCAATTTTGGAGAATGTTCCATGAGGTGCAGAGAAGAAGGTATATTCTTTTGTGTTTGGGTGAAATGTTCTGTAAATATCTGTTAGATCCCTTTGGTTTATAGCATCAGTTAGCTCCAGCATATCTCTGATTAGTTTTTGTCTGGATGACCCGTCTATTAGTGAGGGTTGGGTATTGAGGTCTCCCATTATCAATGTGTGAGGGTCAATATGTGATTTAAGCTGTAGTAGTGTTTCTTTACAAACATGGGTACCCTTACGTTTAGGCATAGATGTTAACAATTGCAATGTCCTCTTGCTGGATTTTTTCCTTTGATGAGTATGTGGTGTCCTTCCCTCTCTTTTGATTAGTTTTAGTTTGAAGTCTATTTTTTTCAGATACCAAAATGGCTACACCAGCTTGTTTCTTAGGTCCATCTGCTTCGAATACCTTTTTCCATCCCTTTACTCTGAGATAATGTCTACTTTGATGTTGAGTTGTGTTTTTGGGGTGCAACAGAAGGATGGATCCTGTTTTCACATCCATTCTGTTAGTCTATGTCTTTTTATTGGGTAATCGAGACCATTGATATTGGGAAATGTCAATGATTGTTGGTTCCTGTCAGTTTATTGTTGCTGTTGGTAGTAGTGGTGTGTGTGTGTGTGTGTGTGTGTGTGTGTGTGTGTGTATGTATGTGCGTGTGCATGTGTGGTTCCCTTTTGATTTTGCTGCTCTAAGATTATTTATTCTTTGTGTTTTTATGGGTGTAGTTTACCTCTTTAGGTTGAAGTTTTCCTTCTAGCATCTTCTATAGGGCTGGATCTGTAGATAGGTATTGCTTAAATTTAGCTTTATCATGGACTATCTTATTTTATCCATTATGGTGATTAAAACCTTTGCTGGTTATAGTAGTCTGGGATGGCATCAATGGTCTTTTAGAGTCTACACCACATCTGTCTAGGACCTTCTGGCTTTTAGTGTCTCAACTGAGAAGCTCAGTATGATTTTAACAGGTCTGCCTTTATGTGCTACTTTGGTCTTTTACCCTTAAGGCTTTTAATATTCTTTCTTTGTTCTGTATATTTCATGTTTTTATCATTATGTGCTGAAGAGACTTTTTTTTCTGGCCCAATATATTTGGTGTTCTGTAAGCTTCTTTAGGTCAGGAAAATTGTCTTCTATGATTTTGTTGAAAATATTTTCTGGGTCTTTGAGCTGAGAGTCTTTTCCTTCCTGTATTCCTACCATTCTTAATATCCCAAATTCCCTGTACTTTTTCCAACATAATATTTTCATTGATTGTTTGGAAATTTCACATCATGCACCCCAATCACACTTTCCAGTCCTCTCAGGTTCGCCTCTCCTTGTGTCCCCCCCCCCCCCCAAAAAAAAAGAGAAGGAGAGGGAAGAGGAGAATGAAGAGGAGGAGGAGGAGAAGCAAAGTCCAACTTGTGCTGCCCACAGTCAAACTTCCAGTAGCTAGCCACTTGAAGAAAATTGAGTCCTTCTCCATCCCCACCAGAAGCCGCCAGTTGTGGAGAGCTACACTTCAGCAGACTTATCACAATTTTTAGCGCTCTCTTCAATGGTTCCCTGTCTAGGCTGTTACATTTTTTGGAGTGTGGAGGGGGGTAGGGCTTGTCACAGAAGCCTTCTGTGTCCCTCTTTCTCAACTGTGAGTCCACAGTCATCAATACCACAGCAAAAGCAGCTTTTCTTACCCTTTCTCTGTCAGGAACGTTTTCAATTTAAAATTTTCTTTTACTGGTGTATTCATTTTTTTCTATTATATTTTCAGTACCTGGTATTTTTCCCTTCCATTTCTCATATTTTGTTGGTGAAATTTGCCTCTGTATTTCTTGTTCAAATTCCTAAATTTTTCATTTCCAGAATTCCCTAGTTTGGGTTTTCTTTATTGATCCTATTTCTATTTTCAGGTCTTGAAGAGTTTTATTTGTTTTTTTTTCCCACTGTTTGTGTTTTCATGGATTTTTTTTAAGGGATTTATTAATTTTTTTTTTTTGAGGACTGCTATCTTCTCCTCCAGCCTTCCTTTCCCCAATTCATCCCACTATCCCATTCTCCTACAGGAGTCCCAGAAAACACCAGCAGGCATTCCCTGCAAACACACCAGTTGAGCAGGCCAGGGAGACAGGTAAGCCAACTGAAGACCTTCACCAGTACCCCCTCTCCTCCAAACCCAATGCCCCAGTCTCATAGCCGGCTCTGCAGCAGAACACCTGCTGCAGCCTTCCTTCTAACCTCCCACCCACCTGCATCTCTGTGGAGCCCACAGTCCTTTCCTCCCATCCTCCCTCTCCCCACCTGTTGCTTTATCCTAGCTCCAAACTCCAGCAGGCATCCCTGCTAATCCACAGACCACTTCTGCCAGGGAAGCACGTAGGCTGTCTATAGATCTTCCCCTCTCCTTCTGTTTCCCTAGATACAGCCCTCCCCCGTCATATCCCCAGGGTTATAGCAGACCCTCTGGTGTGACCCCTCTCCACTGTCTCCCCCGATTCCAAGGAGATAAAATAAGCAGGTGCTGGTTGAACAATCTCCCTTCCTCTTTCCTGTGAACCCCTTCAGATCCCTATCCCATCCCAGGTCCTAAGTGTCAGTTCCCAATACCCAGAAACACATTTTACCTGAAACCTTCAGTAGCCACAACTATCAGGTCCAAAGAAAATTTTCTACTAGACAACACATATCCATCACACTCTCTGAAAATTCAGAAAGGAAACAGAAGCTAAGGAGCAAAACACCCATCCAACAAAGACAAATCCCTAGATCAGCACCTAGACTTATAATCATCCCTATCCCAGATACCTAGACACCAGCATGAAAACACAGTCAATAACAGGCAGGGCAATCTGACTCCACTGCAGCCAGGCAACCCTACCACAGCGGGCCTTGACTATTCCAACATAGCTGGAGCCCATGAAAAAGACCATATTTATCTATTTTCAGAGAGACTTTGTGTGTGTGTGCGCAAGCACGTGCGTGCGCACGTGCGTGTGAGTGTGTCTGTGTGGTGGGTATTGGTGTAGACATCGTGGTGAAAACCACAGTCTCATTTCACTTTCTCAGTAGGAACAGAGATGCTATCTGCACAAGCTGCTCGGTAGAGAAAACCAGAGTCAGGGCTGACGGTTCTCCACTCTCCTGAGCTGAGACAATCTTGGGATGCTACACTGAATTAACTGCCTCGATTGTGATATCTACACATATGATTAAATTCTATAGGACCACAAGGGATTCTATTCCTGACTAAGTGCTGGTACAGCTGGAGCCTCCTAAGTAAGCTCTGCAGACCACACTAACATCAGTTTCCTGTTCTGCACTTGCACACCCAGCTGCAGTTCTGTAAGTATTCACATGTCCAGGAGGAGAGTTCAACCAGCATCTGCTTATTGCATCTCCTTGGAATCGGGGAGACAGTGGAGAGAGGTCACCTCAGAGGTCCCATAGCACAGGAGATGAGACTGAGAGTTGGGTCTGGAGGAACAGAGCAGGGGAAGTGAAGGACACACAGCACCTCCTTTTGTGGGTCTTTGCACTTTCCCATGCATTCTGCAATTATTTTGAAACAAGAAGCTTTTAAAAGACCACTTGGCAGATGGCGTCTTACTAGATTGTCATAATAACTCTTGCAAATTAAATAATACGATTGTTGGCATTTTATAAGAAAGGGAAATGAAGATCCAAGGACAAGTTCTGCTGGAAAAACAGTATAGCTGAAGTCTGTGCTGTCTAGCACTAAAGTTAGACCTTTGGAAGTGCTGACATGCTTATACAATTGTGAGTATGAAAAGAGTTAGGGAATCATTTTCAGAAATCTGGTGTGCTTTAGGTCAGAAACTCCAAAGCAAAAGGAAAATTCACCCTTTGTCCTTCCATAACTTACGGTAAATATGAAGATGGTAGTGTTTTGTGGTGGTGGGAATATTCTCTATATTTATGTCTGCTTTGTAAGTTCCTGCATCTTCCATTCTCAGGCCTTTAATGATTAGGTCATAGTTCTGTTCTATGACATCTATTCGTCCTTCAAAAACCGCCTGGGTCACAATAACTTCAGGTGGTGTTCCTTGGAGTCTTGCTTTGACAAAAGCAACGGATGATTTAGAGGTCCAGGCAATGTTCTTAACTTTCTGTGGTTCTTGAATATTTAAGGGGAAAGTAACTGACTCCCCAAGAATTCCATCCACCAGACGCGAATCTGCATCTTTTCCTGCTGCTTCAGACCCTGAGGATATAAATAGAAAACAGTAACCATCAGACTGCTGAACCTCTTTGTGTTCCTTCTCTGTCTCGAGTATCACTGGGGAACTTACTCAGACACTTGCTCATCCTGTGTCTTGACGATGTCTTCTTTCATTCTAGGTATGTTTTTCTTCTTTTTTGTTTTGTTTTTTTGAGACTGTGTCTGTGTGTGTGTAGTCCTGGCTGTCCTTGAACTAGCTATGTAGCCCAGGCTGGCCTTAATTTCAGAGAGATCCACCCGTCTCTGCCTCCCAAGTGCTGGAATTAAAGGTGTACAACACCACTGCTCAGCTTACTCTAGGTATGTCTAATATACTATGACAAGCAAAATTTAATTAAATATTTGCAGTGTTGTCTGAAACAAAACTGTCCCTGAATGAATACATGTGTTCATTCATAAATGGATGAATGAAGAAATGAACTTAGCCTATTTGGTAAGCTGCTTCCAGAGAGCCCAACACAAGAGTGAATTTTAATACTTCCCTCTGTTAAGTAGTTAAACAGGTATTGTGGGACATATGCTCAATGGAGGTTGGGAAGATGGAAGTGAACAGAAAAGATACCCCCAAAACCATCAACTTAGGGAATAATTTTGTCAGAACCTGGAAGAACTCTTTGCATTTATCTTCCAAGGATAAAAGAAAAAATGTAACATATTTTTGAAGACCACAGTAAAAAACAAAAAGCAAACAAACAAAGCAGTGACTCACATACTCCAGGAACTGTCCCCAACTCTTCTACTACTGGGTAGAAGGATCAGAAAAGGGACACACTTGATATCTTGGATATAATGAAGGTTTCTGCTCTTTTTCCCTTGAATGCCTCCTAGTCTTCAGAATTTATGCATCTATTATAAAGCAGTAGTAACATGTTTTAATACAGCAGCCCCGTTACTGTGGCTTCTTTAATGATCAGGAGTGTTTGAGATTGGCCGGGAAGTATGTGATAGTGTCTATGACATGGGAACTGACCAGTCACGAATCACGAACGACTAGCTGGGCTGTTTTGATGTGAACTGGTTATATGCAAATCCCAAAGGTCGATTCATGTTTCTCACATAAGTGGATTCAGGTTAACCCTAAAGCTGACACAGGGCTTGGACAGAGGGTCTGTTGTGAACGCAAGTCACTAAAATGAAAGAATTTCTCAGCATGGTGGGGCTCTCACTATGGCCACTTTTGCCCTTCAGTTCAGTAGCTACTGCAGGAGCCCAGGACTGCTAAGATGATTCTCTTTCCTTTTGGGTCAGTGGGAAGGTCTGCCCTAAGGAGGAAATACTGGTAACTTAGTTGGAATGGGCAAGCCAAGTCAACATGTTTCAGGACACTACAGCAAGTAAGGGTGGGACAGGAGGAAAGTAGGGACACTTACCTACCAACATTTTTTAAGTGCTAACTACCCATCCATGCTGTTAGGAGCTCAGAGATAATAGGATACTCCTATAGCCCCGAGGAACCCACAAAATATAAGAGGAAACATGATGGGTGCCAAATGGAACAGATGACAGGAAGAAAACATAAAGAGAGCATAAAGTTAGGCTAATGCTGTCTGTAGCAGCCACACTTTGTAGAAATCCAAAACATCAATTGTTACCAGATAAATTATCCCACTGGGCTGGTAGGGTTCACAGAGGGCACCTGGAATATCCTAGCTTGTGTCTCAAGTGTAGCATGCCAGAGGCTAAGCTTAAAGGATTCTGAATTTGTTTTCTGGTGCTGTGTGACTTCCAAATGCTTAACACATTTCAAACAGAGAGCCCCAAATTTTCTCTTTACACTGGGTCCTGCAAATGCCATAGCCAACCCCTGTCTCAGATTGCTTACATGTTTCAAGGCTTTTTTGAATGGAGGTTCTATGGATGAGCTGCCGTTCTCCTCTTCTGGTTTAAGTTAGGCATGAGATGAGCCAGATACAGGATATCTAATTCTGGCTATGTTCTATGTCAGAGCCCATAGATGTGGATCTATTCCTCCTTGACCAAAGGTCAGAGAGTTCAGCTATATTCTTGTTCCTTCATGACAAGGAGGTTTGAACCAGGGTGTGGTTACCTACAGGATGCTTGGCATATGATGTGGTCACTGCATGGCCTACCTAAACAACAGAACACTTAACTCAGGATATAGATGCTTGATGTTTCAGGCATTGAAGAGGTAATTACTCTGTTTGTTTTTGTATCATGGTAAAGTAGTCTTTTGCCTTCTCCCCCCCACTCCCTTTGGATTGGGATATATAAAGCATATGAAAAATAAACACGGGGAATTTGGTATTCACTGGGTTGCCCTCCAGACTCAATTGTGGATCTTTGTATATTTCTTTTTATCTTTTTTTTTCCATCTGACATTTCTGATCCAGACGTCTTTACCCTTGAATATATGAACCCATCGAAGCTGGACCCCAACAACTCTATCAGTATCTTCTGGAAATGTGGAGGCCATTTTCTAAGACTGAGGACTTCTTGGTGGTAAAGCAGTTGTGCCACCACAAGCGTTTGAATGTGGTGTCAGTGTTCAGCTACGCTCCACTCCCCACAGGAGTCATTCAGGAAATGATGGTGGGCTATCAAAGAGCAATCAAGCAGGAAGAGCAATGCTAGGTGATGCTGCAGGGGAAATACTGCAGCTTTTTGCACTGCTGATATGGTTGCAAGAACCTTGAGCTCGCTGAGGAAAAGCAAAGAGTTTGAATAGGTGTGAAATGAATTTTCTGCTGCTTTCAAAGGCACACAACTGCTCTGGGAGAGGTAGCTTTGAGACGATAGCATGTAGCTGAAAAACACACGAGACAGGCTCCAGACTGGGCATCTACTTCCAAACTGGGCAAACTCAATAAAGTTACAAAACCTATTGTAGTCTAGAATAGCGTAACATTGGCCCCCATCTCCTCAGTGAGCAGCAATCGGTGTAATGTGAGCAAAAGCGCTTCGTTAACTGCCAGAGTGAAACTAATGTGAATTCTTCCTGGTGTTGATCTTGACCAATTGATATGTGCATTTTAAAGATTGCATGGCCTTTCCCCGTGACAACTCAGTGATGCTGAGGCCATATTGGACTCCCCCCGCTTTAAAGCAGATTTATGGGATAATTCAAGTAAAGCCCAACTGGGTGCTTTTAAGTGCTCTACTTGGTGGATCTCAATCTGCCCTTAAAATACTTCAGCTTTTAAAGAAAGAATCTTTCTGCCAATAAACTCAATATTTATCTTTCTACATGCTGCAGAGACTCGAATATTATGCTATTACCAGAAGGAATCTCAGCAAAATCCAATTTCGGAGAGCACTTGTGGCACAAAAATGTCTTGAAAGGGGGTTGAAATTTGCATGTCATATGTGAGGCCCTAAGTTTAAGCCTCAGGGGAATTAATACCAAGTCGGGGTAATAATACACATGTATATAACTTTCCTTTGCAGTATGAAGTAGGAAATGTCAGGTGAATGAATGACACCCATCAATGGTAATTTCAGTCAAATCTCAAAAAGAGAAAGAATACTTTGAACTATGGCTGTTAGAAAAACATATTGGAAAGAGCAGAATTCTCTAGGTAGTGGGAAGAAAAGGAGTCTCAGGTTTTTGGGTTCTAAATTCAAGTTCACAAGTTTTGATGCTAATTGAGTCTAGATTTTCATGATGGGGAGGGAGGGAGAGAAAGAGTACTGGAAAAAATCAGGTTGGGATATGGGAAAATCTTAATTTGAGTTTATTTAATAGGTAGAGAGATCTAATAAAGTTTTGAGGATTAAGATTAAAATAACATGTTGGGGTAATTTAAAATAGTAATGATGTATATAAAGAATGAGAAGCTTTGGTAATAGAGGAAACAGATATGCTGTAAAGAAACAAGAGAGAACTTTAAGAGGCGAATGTAGCCATCTGGGCATGAACCGAGGGAGTTATAATAGGAATGGAAAGGAAGGGCTGAGTTTGAGAGATAGTGCAAGGAAGGGCAATGACGAAATAAGCACCTCGTACAATTCACTTGTTTTGCTGTTTGTAGCTTCTGGTTTGTGTCAGTGAAAAACTAAACGTAGAAAACAGAAATGCGGGAAAGATGTCCAATGGAAAAGACAAGGCCAGTGTTAGAACTGTTGACTCGGAGATGAGATTGGACCACCTAAGTAAGAGGTTGGAAGGAAGGGTGATAGGAGAAAGTATGGTCTAGAGATATTGTTGGATGGAAGAGAGTGGCAATAGAACCTGCTTGCTGTGGGATATTTGCATACCGTGTAAAGATATATTTCTATGATTGATGTAGTAAAAAGGTTAACAACCTATAGCTAGGCAGGAGGTATAGGTGAGATTTTGGGGGAGAAAAAGGAAGAGGAAGAGGATCTGGGCATGCAGGAGATGCCAGGAGACACAAAGAAGAACCATGAAGCACAAGATGGAATACAGATACACACTATGTGATAGAACATAGATTAAAATAAATGGATTAATTTAAGTTATAAAAGCTAGTTAGGAACAAGTCTAAGCTATAGGCCAAATTCGCATAATTAATAAAAAGTCTCTGTGTCATTATTTGAGAGCTGACTGGCAGAACAGAAAAAGACTCATTACACCTGCTATTTTCCAATATTTGTTCTCTCCTTCATCACAGTGACAGAACGCTTGATGGTTAAAAGGGCAGATGACCACAAGAATAGACTACATCATCCTGCTCTCTGCTAGTGAACTGTCATCATGCCACCGAGTTCAGGCCAACCAAATATAAAATATAAGTAAAGTATTATATATGCCTCCAATGTCTTCTAGGAGAAGAAAAGATGCTCTCCCCATCTCTTTTTCTTTATACTTTATTTTGCCATGGTAGCTGGACCCCTGAGAAATGTCAGGAATCAACAAGAAACCAAGTATTGAGGTCAGTGATATAGAAAGATAAAAGTCAGGAACTGTAAGGCTTAGATCCAGAGCTGAGTTTGTGAGAAGTGTCCACAGTAATAGAAGAATTATCAAAAATAGCAACAAAGCAAACAAGTAGATCAGATGGCTACTTATCAAAAGAGAACCTACTGTAGCCTCAAGATGATCAAAAAGGGATTGTCTGTGATACAATGATTCAGAGTGTTCAAGTAGGACGGAAGCTGAAAACATCTCTTAAATTTTATGTCTTTGAAGATGT